CCAGGACCCTGGACAGCTCAGCAAAGCCCATCTGCCCTTGGTGGTGCTGCAGGTTGGGGGCCTCAGCAAAGGTTGAAGGAGTTGGTCTGGCACCAGGCAGGGGGCAGGGGAGCTGGGTGGAGGGAAGAGAAGGTGTCTTGGAGTCTGAAGATGGGCCTTGTCATCTCAACTTTATACCAGCGGGGCAGGTCTTGAAACCTCTTGGAGCCTCAGTTTTTTCATCTCTAAAATGGGGTTTCTAGTCTCTCTTCACAGGGAGGGTTGCCCCTCACTGAGGTTCCCACCAGGCTGTTGTGAGAAATAAACCAGCTCCAAGGCGTCTGGAGAAGTTCTTTTAAATAGCAAAGGGCTCACAAGCGTCATGTGAGGGGCCAAGAGCCATAGGTACCGTCAGCTCAGGCCACCTAGAGTGGAGGCTTGGGAGTGGTGACCAGAGGGCCAGGGCACCCCAGGCACCGTTCAGGCACCCCACCTCGGGAGCGTGTCCTCCTGGCTCCTACAGACTGCACAGGGGCTGGGCCCTGCCTGGGCTTGGCCTCCATCCAGCTCTCACCTGGCTTTCTGGTTGGTGGCCTGGAGTCACGTGGCAGGGAATGCTGTAGAGTGGGGTAGGCATCTCATGTGGACAGTGGTCAGACTGGGACTCTAGCTCGGGGCAGGATGAGAGAGCTCCTGGGGTCTTTCCATAGCTTGTCATTTCATCTATGAGCAAGCTCAGGAGTGAGCCACCCCATCCCCTTTCTGCTCAAGCTGAGGAAACTGAGGCTCAGAGAAACATGAGAATGTCCCAAGGTCCCAAGGAAGTTAGTAGTGTAACCAGGTTAGAATACAGATCCCCAGGCCTGGTATCTACAACTGTGACGGTGTGAGCTGCCACTGCTTGCTGAGTGTTGACTGTGCACCCTGCACTCTGCATGTGCGTGGTCCTGAGGTAGGGATTATTGCATCAGCTTTACAGAAGAAGAGACTGAGGTTCAGAGTCACAAGCTGTTAAGTGGCAAAAGCAGGATTTGGTCAGGGCATGGTTTAAGAGTGGGTGTAGTCATCGCAGGTTGTACCTGAGCCTGCTGGAGGTGAGCAGGGCCCAAGGCCCCTGACAAGGTGTGGCTTTTCCACTTTGGGCCCTAGGCCTAGAGGAAGGCCCAGGATGAGGACAGGGCCAGATAGCCGGACTGAAATTGACCTTGCTTTGGGCTGTGTCAGGATCCACACAGACCTGGCTGGCAGGTGGAGACCTTGTCGGTGTCAAATGGGGCTGAGGTGGGGACATGAAACTAGGGCTCCACTCTTCAAGACTGTCACCTCCTCTTGGGAGCCTCTCCCAAACCCCAGCCCATGATGCCTTTCAAATCCTCTGAACTCGACTGCCCTTCTCTGCCAGAGGGATTCCTGGGGTCTAACAGTGTGTGTCGATATTTGCTGATTAATAACCTTTCTGGTACACTGGCTGTGAACCAGTCACCACGGAGGACCCGAGGAAGGCATGGAAGCTTAGGTCACTCTGTCAACGAAGCCGCCCAGGCCTCCAGGTCACCCCAGCCCCTGCCCTGCAGGCACCCCACACCCCACACCCCTCCTTGAATGTCCCACACTCACCATCCTTCATGACATCCTGATGATCGCAGGGACATAGGAGATAAAAAATTTCCACAAATAAAGTAGACCCCACCCCCACCCCGCTCAGAATCTTATGAGGGTTGACATTTTGCTGTATCTGCTTACTGCCTTCTTTCCCCTCTTCCCCTCTATTTTTCATTTTTCAAAACATAGAATCCGGCATACTGTGTTGTAACCCGCTTCACTCGTTCACAGGATGGGTGCAGAGCAAGGAGCCCATTTTCCCACCACGTGGCACTGCAGCGACATTATCTGGCTACTTGAAATTCCCCGGACATCCCATAATTTAAAAAACAGATCCCCTCTGGCTGGGCATTTACGTTGCTTTCACCTTTGGGCTGTTATGAACAGCCTGCAGTTACTGCCTCAGGACACCTCTCTGGAAGGTGTTTCTTGGCCAGGGGATATCACACATGCTCTTTGGAGCCTCCGAGCCTTTGCACAGGTTGGTCGCTCTGCCGGGCTGCCCCTCTCCCATGCATCCCTAAATTCTTCCGCAGCACACACACTGCCTCCTCCGAAGCGAAGCGTCCTGGCTGCATGTGCTGCTCTCTTTGACCTGGGCTGCCCTCTTCTCCCTGGTGTCATGAGTATCTGCTGACCTTCTGCTTCTTCCAGGACAGAGTGCCTTCCTGCTCATCCTTCTCTGCCTTGGCCTCCAGCACGTAGTAGGCGCCTAGGAAATGCTTTCCAGCAGAACGAGCCATCTCCTGGCTGGTTTAGCAGTGTGGGATTGTGTGGTGTTTCTATTAGTCTCCATGAACAAGTGCCACTGTGTTATTAAATTTTTCCAAAAGCAGAATGTGTGCTGTGTTTGCCAGAATGGTTGCTCTTTTAGGAGTGGGTCTATCCTGCCCATCCCACACTCCTCATTCCCTCATCTTTTAGGGTCCATTCACTGGGCACCTAGAGAGTGCCAGGCCCTGTGGGTTGCAGCACTGGGCTCTGGGGAGGCTGACCTCTGGGGTGCAGCCTGGACCAGGGGAGGCATGAGGGCTGCATGAGACAATGTGGGTCAAGCTGAGAGCTCCGTGCCTGGGACTGGGTGGTGCAGGTAGCGCCAGACCCCTCTGGCGGGGAGCTTAAGCTTGGCTTCAGAGGAAGTGCCGAGTGCCAGGCATACAGTAGGCGCTCAATAAATGTGTATACCCTGGGAAGGTAAGGGATGGTGTTCTGGGAGTTGAAGGTAGTTCTGGTAGGACTGGAGGTGATGAGGAAGCTGGCCTTGGAGGAAAATTGTCACAGGAACCTTTGCTCTTGACCCAGGGACCCAGAAGGCACATTTGTCACTGTCCTTTTCGATCTCCTGAAGCCACAGCCAAGCTATGGATTTGTCCTGGGCAGGCGGCAGGCGGCAGTCTCACTCCTGCTGAGACACTGAGTCCAAGGCCCCCTCTCAGGCATGCAAGACATTTTCTCCTTCGCCTCCCTTGAAGTCACTGTGCTCAGGGAGCCTGCAGCCTAGGAGGAGAAAGAGGCTCCCAGGTTAAGTTTGGGATTCCCTGAGAGAAAATTGGGGTCTAAAGACAAGGAAGCAGGAGTGGGTGACTGCCATGGACCCGTCGGTTAGCCCCTGCCCCCCATCTCTGGCCTTAGGACCCCAGGCCTCCATCATCGTCTCCTTCCATAGTCCAGCTGCTCCCCCTGAACCTCTGGCTTTTAAAAATTTATTTATTTTAGTTTTTTAATGTTTAGAAAGAGTCTCATTTTGTAGCCAGGCTGGAGTGCAGTGGCATGATCTCTGCTCACTGCAACCTCTGCCTCCCGGGTTCAAACGATTCTCCTGCCTCAGCCTCCGGAGTAGCTGGGACTACAAGCACATGCCACCACGCCCAGGTAATTTTTGTATTTTTAGTAGAGATGGGGTTTCACTATGTTGGCTAGAATGGTCTTGATCTCCTGACCTCCTGATCCACCCGCCTCAGCCTCCCAAAGTGCTGGGATTACAGGTGTGAGCCATGCCAACCGGCCTCTGCCTCTGTCTTTAGAAGTCCCAGAGCAAGCTCTAAAAAGATAAACATGAACAAGTCACAGCCCTGCTCAAAAACCCTCTATGGCTCCCCACTGCCCCTGATAAAGTCTATTCAAAGCTCTTCCTGATCTGGCTTCCGTCCCCTCACCCCCAACCTTGCCACCTCATCTTTCCTCGTCTTGCTTTTCCTTTGTCTTGAACCCACTGAACTCACATGCCAGGGCCTCTGCATGCTCCATTCCTTCGGCCTGGATGTCTTTTCCAGGTCTTCTCTCCTGGCATTTGCTCATTCAACTGGGCTGTCCCCACCTCCAGGAAACCACCCCAGGTAGCTGTCCTCGGGGGCAGAACAGGCCCAAGGGGCCCACACAGGATATCCTTGGGGATGGTGTGATGTGTGTATTGGCAAAGGGGGACCCACAAGCATTTGTTGAGGGGCTTGGGCCTCTGAGGAGCCACAGCACCTTTCCGTCTTCCTGTCAGTCTGGGAGGCCCAGGCCAGAGTCATCTTCACCCTATGCAAGGCCCTGGGACACCTGTCCCATCGCGGCAGGGGCTGGAAGCCCCAGGGCCTCTCAAACTCCCCAGAGTGACTCCCGCCGCTGAGGGCTATGCTCCCTCCTCTTCCCAGCAAGGTAGGGCCTCTGTACACTGAAGTCCTGACTTCCTTGCCCCCCCCTGTTGGGGCTCAGGCCGCCTCAGGCCACCTGCTGTGTCCGGGCTTGGGGACCTGGGACTCCCGAGGGGAAGAGATGGTGGCCCGGGAGGAGGACCCCGACCTATTCACGCTGGGAGCTGGGGTCCTAGTGTCTCCGTCCTGGGAGGGGGACCTTCCAGATCCCGGGCGGGAGGGCCCTGGAGCAGGGTGCCCTGACGGCCCCGGGAGGGTGTCCGGGCCTCGGGCGAGGGCTGCGGCGCCCCGGAAGGAGCCGCGCACGCCCCTGCACTCGGTGCCCGCCGCGGCGGCCGCGGATCCGGAGGTGAGAGCGCCCCCGCCCCGCTCCCCGCCCAGCCCGCCCGCGGCCCGGCCCGGGGCTAGGGGGCGGGCGCGGAGAGGGGCGCGGGGCGCGGCGGGGCGGCCCCCTCCGTTTTCCGCAGCGCGGGCGCCGCTCCTCCTCCCGCGCCCAGGCCGGCGGCCGCGCTCCCTGTCCCTCCGCAGCGGGATGCGGGCGCCGGGCCCGGGCAGGGGCCGAGGGCCGAGGCCTGGCGGGCCTGGCGGGGGCCCCTGCGGGCGGCGCCTCAGGGGCCGGGACCGAGGCCGCGAGCGCGCCCCTCCCGGCGGCCGGGAGGGGGGAGGCGGGGAGGGCGGGCTGTGGCGGGCGGGGGGAGCCGGGCAGGCTCGGAGCCTCGCAGCGCGCGGGCGGGCGGCGGAGGGGGCGCGGGGAGCCCCCCGCCCCCCGAAGGAGGAGTCTGGCTCCCACTTGCAGCCTCGGACGCGCGGCGAGGCGGCCGCCGCCGGAGGAGCCCCCGCCCCTGCGCGCCTCCCTCCCGGGAGCCCCTGCCTCCTTCGGTGCGCGCTGCTGCTCGCAGCCGCCGCGGCCGCCGAAGAGGAGCCCGGGGCCAGGTAGGACCGGGGGCGGGCGGGTCGCGGCGGGCGTAGGCGGCGGGCCGGGCGGGGGGCGCGGCCGGGACCCTTCTCCAGGCTCTGGGCGACGCCCGCGGCGCTGCGCAGGGGCGCCCGCAAAGTTACTTTGGCCGCCTTTGCCGGGTGCGGGCGCCGGGCTGGGCACCCCCCTGCCCCGCCTGCCGAGCAGGCGCCGGCGGGAGGGGTCTGGGCCCGGGCGTGGGACTCCGGCTAGGGCCGCGGGGTCAGCGAAACTTTTCCCTTGCTCGCCAGTCGCGGCTGGCTGCTGGCGGAGTAGCCGGTAGGAGAAGCGGACTGGTGGGGTGCCGGTGGTGATGATGGTGGTAACAATAGCAGCCCCTGCTTGTGGAGAGCCTACTGTGCGCAGCCAAGCCCCTGCTGGCACTCTGGGGAAGAGACGGAGAACAAACGCTGGCCGAGTGGCCACTTTTGCTAGGTATTGCTGGAAACTTCATCCATTTCCTTCCATCCATCCCTCCCTCCCTCCCTCCTTCCCTCTCTCCCTCCCTTCCTCCCTCTCTCCATCCACTCACTCAACACATATTATTCCTGTCTGCTGTGTGCCCGGCCAGGGATTCAGTGACTACCCAGACAGGTCCCAGCCCTCAAAGGCAATGCTGATCATGGAATGGCCAAGCGAAGGAGCAGTTCTGTCTCCTGTGTGTTTGTTCTGGGACGTGTTACAGGAGCGTGAATTCATGCACAGTCTCCCTTCACCCGGGTAGGGCCAGAGGCGTGTCATTCAGAGCGCTGATGTGCTCAGGAGTCTGGCAGGCCCCAGCTTGGCCTCCGGGACTCACCCTTCTCCTTTCCCTCCCACCTCTCCTGGCTCAAGCTGGGTGGCCCAGTTGGTGTCAGGAGGCTCCCTTCTGGAACTGGCCCCCACCCTGCCTCGCTGACCTCTCTGGGAAGTCTCTTCCCCTGGGCTCAGCTGGCCTGGCTCCCAGCTCCCCTCCCAGAGTTTCTTTGCCTTCCCCCTCCCCATTTCCCCTGCTCCACTGAATGGCCCAGAGGAGAGCTTGTTAAGTGGCAAACAATTATGAAATTAAACTGGGGGAACAAAAGTGGGCTGGCTGTTGAATGGCGGAGCCGGCTCGCGGGAGTTGAATGGCGGTGGGAGACTTGTTAGCAGGGATCTGGGCACTGGGGGGCAGGGCCGGGGGCGGTCAGGCAGGCAGGCACCGTCAATAGTCTGACTGGACTTTGAAAAAAAAAAAAAAAAAAATTAAACCAACTTGGTGAGAAATCTGTCATAGGGCTTACCGTGCTTTAGGGGATGTTGGAGAGGCCACCAGCTGACTGCCACGTCCAGTGGGAAGCCAGGCCTTGGTGCACCGGAGCCAGGGCTCTAAGACACTATTTAGGGAGGGTGCTGGTGGATTCTGCTGGCCTGAGGCAGGGGAGAACCTCAGGACGTCTGAGCTGGTGGTGCTCCGGAGGCATTCTGGAGCCAGGCGCAGTCCACAGGGGCCCACTGTGTGGGAGCCGTGCATGAGAAACTGCGCCTCACCATGCTGGGCTCCCTGCAAATTGGCTTTCCGAGTGACAGCCTCACAACACTTGTAAAACCTTTTTCTCGAGATGGATTTCGGTGCAATCGTTGCATCGATTCGAGGGCTTGCTCGTTGGAGGTACATTAATTGGCTGATGGCTAGTCAAAAGGCGATAATCCAGCCACGGAGGCTTAACCGTGCGTTGGGAAGTGTTTCAATGTGGGACTGCCTTCCTATTTATTTCTCCGCCCCTAGGAATTTCGGAAGACCTGGATTGAATGAGGTCATCGTATCGGTGATGTGGATGGGTTCAGAGGATCACTCACATGGTCAAGGAAGTACCTCTGATGTAACCACAACGTGGTACATTTAAATCACTCACATCCATCCTGGCTGATGCCCTGTGGGCTGTGCCTGTGCACAGATAGGACAGGTTTAGATCTAGGTGAACGGTAAGAATTTTAGGGTGTTTTACTCCCACTGTCAGGAATACACAGAGTGATGTAGGGAACCATCGTTCACGAAAAGCCTGCTTTTAATACATTCCCAGGCCACCCGCACGACTCTTAAATCTTCATCCAGTGAATGTGATTTAAATTCACTTGTTCTCTGAACTTGCTGCCTTCCCACCTGGGCACTGGGGGCCTTGGCGTGCTCAGTTTATCCAGGACACACCTCTCTCCACTTGTTTGAGGAATTAGGGTGGTCGCTGGGTTTCCGTGAAGGGTAGCATTCAAGGAGGAAAATCAGCATTCTCCGTGCGGGTTCTGGACTTCTGGAAAAAAAAGAACCCCCCCCCCTCAAAGTGCAATCATCTTTTAATCTATCAAAATGCCTTCATTTTCCCAATTTCAGGCCTGTGAACTGATCATGAATACCGGGGCAGAGGAAATTAATCAGCCAGGCAAAGACTTTTAACAAGTAAATATTATGCACAGAAAAACATGCAATTAGTGGAGGTTAGTTAATGCCTTTCAAGTTGCATCGAGCTGCAGTTAAGGGTGGAATTTCCACGTTATCCCTGAATTGTCTGTCAAAGTCTTTAATGTGACAATGTGACAGGTCTCTCCCACCGCCCCTCCCTCACCGGGAACAAAAAAGGATCTTTTCATGAATTCTCCCTTTCCATTCTTTTTCTTTCTGAGATCTTTCTGTTCAGGCAATAAGTACCTTTGTCTGCCTGCCCCTCCGGAGCAAGGTCCTGGGCAAAGGCCTCCCCAGGTGCAGAGGCCAGGGAATAGATTCTCAGGCTTACTCTGTACCCACAGATCAAAGTTGATGGCACCTCCGATGAGATGTAGGGGACTTCCTTCTGGCCTGGGTGCCTCACCCTCTAGGACCAGAAGTGCCCAACACTTGGGGGTGTCAGGGAGAAGGGGTGTGACGGGACTGTTTCCCACGACAAGAACCATTTAGTGTAGCCTGGGGCACTCTGAGTCATTCCCCGAAGGCCTGGTTTCTGCTGTGTGGATGTCCCTATGTAACGAGACCACACCAGCAAGCATCCCCTCCAGACTCCCACTGAAGTTGTCTGACTTGGACTTGAAGAGATGACTAAAATATCAAAAGAAAAAAAAACCCCAAAAAATCCAAGGGGAAAAAAATAAGAGACTCCTTTTGGGGGTGATATTGGAAGAAAGGTATAAATTGCTTCTCAGTTAATTTGAGTCACCATGGCTCTCCCTGGTGACCTCACAGGTCCACTACCAACACAAATGTTTTACTTTATTTTGACCCTTCCCTCTAATGAGACAAGACTTAGTTATGCTTTATTTCTACTTAAAATGTCTGTGCCCAAGAGGGGCAGCTCAATTTCGTGAAACAAATCATAACACGTTGAGATGATAGGTATTACATTTGAAATCAAACTGTGATTTGAGGTGCTCCTTGGCCTTTTCAGGTCTTTTCATGAATTACTCTGTGGGAGGTTTTCTTGGACCTGAGCTTGGCCGGCTTAATGTCAGAACCTGGTCATCTTCATAAATAGAAGCAGCTGCAGGGAAAAAATAAAAATTCTTCCTTCTGGTTGATCTGTTCTGCACCCAGTTCAAAGCCAGGGAGGAGCAGGTTCCTCTTCCCACCACCCCAGTCTACACCTGAAAGTTTGTTTCTGTAACGTAACTTGTCTATTGCTCACTTTCACATTCCTGTCTCCTCCTTCCAAGAAGGATGTGAGGCTCAGCGCTGATGCACACGAAGAGACTCTTGGCATCGCCCATGCTAATTTCATCGCTTCAAGGAGAAAATGATGCCTGCTTCCAATTTCTGACACTCTCATCATTTCCCCTTCATTTCATTCTTTTGCATTTTCTGGACAATACCGCAGTCTTCAAGGCTGCAAAATATATTGCATTGGCTACCTGAGAAACGTAATCCCTTCCTGCACCCTGCCTTTCCCTCCTTCCTGACAAAGCATTCTTTAGTGTTCCAATATTCACAGAAAAGGCAAAGGTTCTCTCCCCAACCCTTATTCTGCCCTGGGCTCCCTGCACGGCGCCCGTGGTGGTGGGGGAGGGCTGGTGAGAATGGAGTTTTGCTTTTGTAAGTTTATCATTCAGACACATTAGTTAATTGATCATACTTGGGAAGCCTAATCCTTAATTGCAAATTCCCTCACGATCACAAAACATGCACTCGAACTGATCATCAAAAATGGCAAAACCCCAATATCAGACTTAAGTGTAGAATTGCCATCGTGCTGATTTGATTATGCTTCAGTGACATCTGTTTAATAGACTTCCACAAGAACTGTAAATCCACATTTACTTTCTTTGCAAATTGTATCTGAATGCTGAGCAACCACAGCCCTCTAGCCTCTTCCCCTCGCTAACCATGTCTGTCCTAAACCCCCATTGCTATTGTGGGTGATTTTGAGCTGTAAGTGGGAAGGGGAATACAATGCAGAGTTTAACACATCTACCTCCAGTCTCCTTATGTGTGTGGGTATGTCTGTGTGCCTCTTTGAAACGGATCTGAACAGCTTCCCATTTCAACTCTATAGATACGTGACTCTCCAAGTGCTTTATTTTGAAAACTAGGACGTAGCACTTTGCAGAAGAAAAATCAGTTCACTCACCATTATTTATGTGATCGCGGATCTGCTAGGTGGATATAGAAAGCACCAAGAATTATAATAATTTATGGAGTGGAGCACTGGTTTACAAACATATTTCTCTACCCAAGCTTTGTGGGTTTCTTCACGTCTCGGGGCTCGTTCCGTGCAGTGGGAACGGAGAATAGTCAGAATCTGAAGACAAGCCAGGCAAGCCGACTGCATTCATAGCTAAAATTAAAGGAATAAGTGAGCAGCTATTTGTGGCAGACAGGACAGGATCCAGTACGTAGCACTGTTCATATTCCGAAATAAAAGTACGTAATTGGAAAACGAAGCGCCGGAGACTGCTGGGGGGTGGCGGTGGTGAGGAATTAGAAAGTGTAATTTAAAATCATGTAGTCATAATTCAAAATGGGCCCAGCTAAAAGGTT